TTGCGCACCACACTCCCGAAACTTCACCATAGCCCAGGTTAGTATAAGTTTCAACCACGCTCCCCTAGTTATATTTTCCCAGCCCAGGATTACGCGGGAATATTGATTGAAAACGACGACCGCAGAGTCAAATTAAAAATAAAAAACAGCATGATACCCATGAATGGCAGGGCCCCGAGTCGAACGAGGGATGTCGGGACACAAGGCAGGTGTAGCTCCAGATGATATAAACCCGACGCGCACTCTGCGCCTCCCTGCCTTTTGTTCTCTGCTTCGAATCTTTGATAGGTGACCACGTTGTCTCGGTATTAGCGATGAACCGTGTCTGGTGCGGAATGCAACCACCGCTGGTCTCCGCCCCGGAAAATTATACCATGGTCAGACCATCCTCGTTCTCTCCCTTCATTTTATCCTTGAACCCCTCGCCTACGCGCCTGGGACTTTATTGGAATGCGAGATCAATTAGTAGGTAGTGGAAAAGGAAAAATAAAAAAGAAAGGAGAAAAATAAACAAGTCTACCCACAGATGGCAGGGCCCCGAGTCGAACGGGGTTTTTCAGGATTCATGGATCGAACCTTAAATTGAAACCCGACGCGCACCCTGCGTCTCCCTGCCTTTCTTATCACCTTCAAAAACTTGATAAGTAGCATGATTATTAAAATGAAAGATCATGGATTGTGAACTTGAACGGGAACTCAACCCACCGGATAGTCTCTGAAAATTATCATGGCCAAACCATCCTCGTTCTCTCGGCTAATTTTATACTTGAACCCCTCGACTAAGCACCTGGGACTTTATTGGAATGTGAGATCAATTAGTAGGTAGTGAAAGAGAGGAAGTTTAAAAGGAGAAAAAAACAGTGCTCTAAATGTGCATGGCAGGGCCCCGAGTCGAACGGGGTGCTTCGAGAATCATGTAAGTCGGTTATGCCTGCATTCGAATTCGACGCGCACCTGCGCCTCCCTGCCTTTTCTTACCCACCTCAAAAGCTTGATAAGTGACAAGAAATTGAATGGGTATTAGCGAAGGCGTGAATGTGAACAGATGGTCTCCGCAAATTATCATGGCCAAACCATCCTCATCCTCTCCGGTAATTTAATTCCTCACGCGGGAATATCGATTGACGACCGCTGAGTGGAAACAAAAAAGAACAAAAAAAGGGGAAATCATATCCGAAATAAGAATGGCAGGGCCCCGAGTCGAACGGGGAGATTCGGGATCCAACTACGAGGGTTCTCAGTCATTGAAACCCAATGCGCACCCTGCGCCTCCCTGCCTTTTCTTACCCCTTTAAAAGCTGGATAAGTGGGGATGCATGAGGTCGTAGCAGTGGTAAAGTTGAACCTACCGATGAGCACGTACGCATATGCAATTTAATCTTATCCTCGATCTTTGACATGAAAGGGTATTGTCCTGGGAGATCACAGATAAAAAGAAAAAAAACTGGCATTACGGATGAATGGCAGGGCCCCGAGTCGAACGGGGAGTTTCGGGATCCAACTACAACTTTCCTGTATTGAAACCCGACGCGCACCCTGCGCCTCCCTGCCTTTTCTGGCCTAGTTCGGAGGTGGGATAGGTGCGCGACGGACTTGGCCGGTGTTGATTCTCATCTGGAGAAGAAATTGGACGAGGAATTTGGGAGATGATTCCAAAGCAGTTGGACTCCGCTGTCAGCCTCGATTATTGGTTGATATTCCCTGGCGCCCATAGCCCCTCCACCGCTCCCAAATACCACCCAATACTCCTCCATCGAACAATAGAAACCACGTACCACCGCCGCCACATAAGAGCTGTCGTCTAACAATAAGGACATCAAGGAGAAAGAGAAGCGCCTCGAACAATCGATCGCCGCTTACATAATGCTGTGGGTCGCGTGTAGCAGACAGCTCTCTCGCTTCGCACCGTCAGCAATCCATCTCCTCCTCCTACATCTACTTCTCTTTCTCGCTCCAACCATGGACGCCCGTCTGCGCCGCGTAAACAAGGAGATCGCCGGTGCGTGCGCATCGCCCTCATCCGGTCCTTGTAGCCCTCTGGTAGCATGGGGATGTCATGTGGTCGATGCTGATGAGTGGCATTTTGGTTTGCGGTTATCGGATGCGCAGACTGCAAGAACGACAAGACGTCCAACATCCGCATCGATCTCGTCGATTCCTCGCCGTTCCACCTCAAGGGCTCGTTCCCAGGGCCAGAGGACACGCCGTATCAGGGTGGCTTGTTCGAAGTCGTGCGTCTCTTTATTCCTTATTCCTTTCCTTTCCTTATTTAATATTAATACCACACAGGACATCGTCATCCCCGAATCCTACCCCTTCCAGCCCGTCAAAATGAAATTCATCACAAAGGTGTACCACCCGAACGTCTCCTCCGCCTCTGGCGCCATCTGCCTCGACATCCTCAAAGACGCCTGGTCCCCCGTCCTCACCCTCAAGTCCACGCTCATCTCCCTCCAGTCGCTCCTCTGCTCCCCCGAGCCGAACGACCCCCAGGACGCAGAGGTCGCAAAGCACTACACGACTAGCAAGCGCAGCTTCGAGGAGACGGCGGTGTATTGGACGAAGACATATGCGACCCCGAGAGCTGCGGCGGCGGCGGCGCCGACGACGAATGATGGGGCCAAGGACGAGGTGGCAATTGCGGGGTTGGAGGCGGCGCATGTGGATCGGTTCGAGGCGCTGGGGTTCCCCCGCGCGAAGGTGGTGAGTATCGTGTCGCGTCCTATTGGCTCTTCGTTTTTTTCCCGCCCCTCCACCTCATCTCATCCTATCCAATCCACTCGCGTCACATACCCCTTACTTCCATCTTCCTCGCATATCCCATATCCCCAGCCTCTTTCGTCTCGCATTTGTTTTCTCCTCCATCCTCGCGTCTTTCTCTTCTTTGTCTCTCTCCCTATATTTTTAGAAACGTCTTCTCACATCTCTATTCGCAGATCGACGTCCTCCGGCGACTCAACTACCGCGGCGCCAACGTCGCGCAGATAAACGACGACCGCGTCGTCGAGGAGCTGCTCAAGTAGCTGCTCCTCTTTCCTCTACACTCCCCCTCCTTCTTCTTCGTCCTCGTCAACGCGTGCGTGCATTTCAGTTCTCTGGGGCGTGGTGCTGACGGACGTGAAGGATTGGGGTGGTGTGTGGTGTGTCGGCGTGGGCGTGGGTGTGGGAGGCGCGGTGTATGTCGATGTAGTCCGGAATCATCATCTCTTGCTCTTGCTCTTGCTTTCAGTCTTGGATTGGATGTCCACCGGATTTCGTTTGTTTGTATTCCGATCTCGTTGCGAAGCTGTTCCTGTCTGTGTCTTTGCTTGTTGTGCACCTGTCTGTGTCTTTCGTCGCGACCCTCTGTCCTATCTCTTGTCTTCTGTATCCAGAATCTAACTCGGTTTTCTTTCTCATACCATCGCCTAGCCCTTGAGAATATCCAACATCCGTTCCTCGAACGCGAACGTGAACGGGACCGAATTGAGCCCACTTCGATCCTCCATGGTCAGCCTCCAGTCTTGATGTCTTCTCTTGCCATCCAACAGTCGAGAGAAATCCAGGCAGGCAGTCGAGAAATGAGAGAATTCGCGCGGTGTATGTATGTGAGAAAGAAACGCAGGGGGCGCAGGGTGCGCGCCGGCTCCCAGTAGTCGGATGAGCCGGCCTGACCTCGTTCGACTCGGGGCCCTGCCATAGTGGGAAAAGAGTTTTTTTTTCTTTTTCAGTCCGTGCTTCTTGGCTTGTCGCTGCAGACGGAGACTTCAGGGGTGCTTCAATTAATTCAATGGACCATCCATCTCGCGATAACAGGTGTCCCAACAAGCCAACTCGTTCCTTGTGCCTGGCTCGCTCCTCGTGTTTATCCAAGTAGGGGGAGAAAGGCAGGGAGGCGCAGGGTGCGCGCCGGCTCCCAGTAGTCAGGTGGAAGATCGATATCCTTATAAGTCGGCCTAACCTCGTTCGACTCGGGGCCCTGCCATAGCGGGACATGCATGTTGTTATTTTTTTCTTTTTCAGTCTGTGCTTCTTGGTTTGTCGTTGCAGACCGAGACTTCAGGCATGCTCCCATTAATTCGATAGACCATTCATCTCGCGATAACAGGTGTCCCAACAAGCTAACTTGTGCCTTGTGCCTGGCTCACTATGAAATTGCCTCGTATTTATTCCAAGGATCAAAGTAGGGAGAGAAAGGCAGGGAGGCGTAGGGTGCGCGCCGGCTCCCAGTAGTTGGAAAATACGTATGAGCCGGCCTGACCTCGTTCGACCCGGGGCCCCGCCATAGCGGGACATGCATGTTGTTTTTTTTCTTTTTCAGTCTGTGCTTTTTGGCTTGTCGTTGCAGACGGAGACTTCAGGCATGCTTCAATTAATTCGATAGACCATCCCTCTCGCGATAACAGGTATCCCGACAAGCCAACTCGTTGCTTCAACTTCCTTGCCTGGCTCGCTGTAAAATTGCCTCGTGTTTATCCAAGGATCAAAGTAGGGGGAGAAAGGCAGGGAGGCGCAGGGTGCGCGCCGGCTTCTGGTGAGAGGGGATTCACATAAAGCCTAAGCGCCGGAGAACCTCGTTCGATTCGGGGCGCTGCCCGCTGCAGACTGACACAAACATATTTTAATTCGATAGACATCCTCTTGCTGGCCTCGTACACGGACTCGTTCCTCGTGCCACTTCGTTCATCCCCAAATTTCTTCGTGTTTATCCAAGGGCCACAGCATGGAGAAAAGGCAGGGAGGCGCAGGGTGCGCGCCGGCTCCCAGTAGTTGGAAAATACGTATGAGCCGGCCTGACCTCGTTCGACTCGGGGCCCTGCCATGGTACGAAATGGCTGTTGTTATTTTTCTTTTTCAGTCTGTGCTTCTTGGCTTGTCGTTGCAGACGGAGACTTCAGTCATGCTCCCATTAATTCGATAGACCATTCATCTCGCGATAACAGGTGTCCCAAAAAGCCTTGTGCCTGGATTACTGTGAAATTGCCTCGTGTTTATTCCAAGGATCAAAGTAGGGAGAGAAAGGCAGGGAGGCGTAGGGTGCGCGCCGGCTTCTGGTAGGAGGAAGGAAGGAAGTAAAGCCTGAGCGCCGGAAAACCTCGTTCGATTCGGGGCCCTGCCATAGCAGGAAGGACTGTTGGTATTTTTCTTTTTCAGTCTGTGCTCCTTGGTTTGTCGTTGCAGACCGAGATTTCAGGCATGCTTCAATTAATTCGATAGACCATCTATCTCGCGATAACAGGTGTCCCAACAAGCCAACTCGTTCCTTCAACTTCCTTGTGCCTGGCTCACTATGAAATTGCCTCGTGTTTATCCAAGGATCAAAGCAGGGAGAGAATGGTAGGGAGGCGCAGGGTGCACCCCGCGCCGGTTTCTGGTGGGAAGGGTACATGTATTCACATAAAGCTTAAGCGCCGGAAAACCTCGTTCGACTCGGGGCTCTGCCATGTATTGTGGTCAAGCTTTTTTTTCGGGCGCTTGTCGCAGCAGACTGACACAAACACATTTTAATTCGATAGACATCCCCTCGCTGGCCTCGTACGCAGACCCGTCCCTCGTGCCACTTGGCTCATCCTCAAATTTCTTCGTGTTTATCCAAGGGCCACAGCACGGAGAGAAGGCAGGGAGGCGCAGGGTGCGTGTCGGCTCCCACTCGGTCGATTTATTGAAACCTGAGTGCCGGAGGGACTTCGTTCGACTCGGGGCCCTGCCGTAATTCTTTGAGACTTTTTTTTGGTCTTGGCTTGTCGTTGAAAAATTCAACCCCAGACTGAGATCTTCCAGGTTTAATTCCTCATCCACAAATAGCTCGTGTTTATTCGAGGCCCAGAGAAGGGTAAGAAAGGCAGGTAAGCGCATGGTGCGCGCCGGCTCCCAATGTAGGGTTCGACTGCATGTTTGAAAGTCGGAACACCTCGTTCGACTCGGGGCCTTGCCATATTGCTTCCAAGATCTTGGATTTTTTTTTGGTTCTTGGCTTGTTCTTGAAAAATTCAACCGCAGACTAGGATTCACATTCCTCAATTTCAATTCCACAGAGTTGCGAAAACGAGCACTCCAACTAATGCCAATTGGAGTCCTCAATTTCTTTGTGTTTATTGAAGAATGAACAGGGACAAGAAAGGCAGGGAGGTGCACGGTGCGCCCCGGCGTCTCGTAATACGGTTAGTTGCGATTTCAGCGCCGGAGTGACCTCGTTCGACTCGGGGCCCAGCCATATTTATGTCGAGATCCTGGGATTTTTTTTTTTGGTCCTTGGCTTGTCGTTGCAGACTGACACAAACATATTACAATTCCGCAGACAAATGCGGAGGCAGACATAGCTATAGTACAGTATGCATGTCAACCACGCAACCCGTCCCTCGTCGTTGAGTCCTCACCTTCAAACTTAATTGCCTCCTGTTTATTGAAGAATGAACAAGGATGAGAAAGCCAGGGAGGCGCACAGTGCGTGCCGGCTTCTGGTGGGTTCGGTATCGGAAAGCCTAGACCTCGTTCGACTCGCCCTGCCATGAAAAGACGTATGGGATTTTTTTAATCTTTTATCTTTGCTCACATGTTTATTTTTTTCAATTCCACAGACAATCGCACGGACAGACACTCCAACAAGGTTGAAGTCCTTCTGTCTATTGAAGAATGGACTAGGACAAGAAAGGCAGGGAGGCGCAGGCTCGCAATGTGACGCCTCTACCAAAGTTTAAGAGTCGGAAAACCCCGTTCGATTTGGGGCCCTGCCATAATGTGGGAATAACTGGGGTTTTTTTTTTTTTTTTTCTTTCTCATTTTCATTCCACTTCGTTTTAGCTACAGACCAGTGAGTGGTCTTCAGCTCAACATTCTGTCTCCGGTGAGCTGACGTTTCAACGATCCAACTCATTCCTCGTAGCTCTGCTCATCCACAAATCTCTTCGTGTCTATCCAAGGATCAGAGCAGGGAGAGAAGGCACGGTGCGCGCCGGCCCCCAATGTTGGAGACTTGGAGCTAAAGAACTTACCGAGATGGAGTGACCTCGTTCGACTCGGGGCCCTGCTATGAAGAACAAGGCGGGAGTTTTTTCTCTCTTTCGGGCGCTTGTACTTAGGCTTGGAGTTGAAAACACCATTTGCAGAGTGGGATTTATATTTTCCATTTTCAATTTACTGCGGAGGGAGACATGTTAATCGCACAACTCGTATCTTGTCTCATCTTTAAATTTCTTCATGTTTCATGGAGGCTGGAACAAGGACAAGAAAGGCAGGAAAGTGTACTTGGGGTGCGCACCGGCTCGCAGTGTAATAGTTGTTGTGGATGTTTGAAAGCCGGAAAACCTCGTTCGACTCAGGGCCCCGCCATAGTATGAAAGTACTGTTGGTATTTTTCTTTCTCAGTCTGTGCTTCTTGGCTTGTCGCTGCAGCCGGACACTTCAGGGATGCTTCAATTAATTCCACAGACCATCCATCTCGTGATAACAGGTGTCCCAACAAGCCAACTCGTTCCTTGTGCCTGGCTCACTGTAAAATTGCCTCGTGTTTATCCAAGGATCAAAGCAGGGGTAGAAAGGCAGGGAGGCGCAGGGTGCGCGCCGGCTTCTGGTGGGAAGGGTACATGTATTCACATATAAAGCCTAAGCGCCCGAAAACCTCGTTCGACTCGGAGCTCTGCCATGTATTGTGGTCAAGCTTTTTTTTCTGGCGCTTGTTTGGAAGATCCAGCCGCAGACTGAGATCTTCGTCTCGCGCAGACAGACATTTGAACGAGGTTGAAATCCTAACCCACTATTTTTTCGTGTTTATTGAAGAATGGGCAAGAACAAGGAAGGCAGGGAGGCGCAGGGTGCGCGCCGGGTCCCATTATTTATTAGATACGTCATGGTTAAACCCGAAAGCCCACGTTCGACTCGAGGCCCTGCCATGTTCCATGTTCTGGACGGTATTGTTTCTTTTTCTCTTTCGCTCGGCGATTAGTGACGAAAAGTTGGCCGCAGACTGTGACTGGCATTGTTCAATTCCACAGACAATTGTAGAAATGGACACCCGGCCACACAACTCGTATCACGTCTGATCTTTAAATTTCTTCGTGTCTCATGGAGGCTGGAACAAGGACGAGAAGGGTAGGGAAGCGCAGGGTGCGCGCCGGCTTCTGGTCAGACGGCTTGTGGAGACTTGAAACGCCGGAGTGACCTCGTTCGACTCGGGGCCCTGCCCTAAGAAAAGGGCGTGTTGTTTTTTCTTCTTTTGGCTTCACATTGACACAAACATATATTCAATTCAACTGATCACCCATCTCGCAATAAAGGTGTCCCAGCAATCAACCTCTACCTCTGCTGACCCTGAATTGCCTTCTTCCTATTGAGGCTGGAACAAGGACAAGAAAGGTAGGGAGGCGCACGGTGCGCGTCGAGTTCTGTTACAACTGCAGTTGAAATCTGAGCGCCGGTTCGACTCGGGGCCTGCCATAAGAATATGATAGACGTTTTTTTGTCTTATTTTTGCAATTCCTCAATCCCACAGTCACGCGGAGACAGACATCTCGGCCGTCCAACTCGTCCCTCGCACCCGGATTATCGTCAAGTTCCTTCGTGTCAATTGAAGAATGGACAAGGACAAGAAAGGTAGGGAGGCGCAGGGTGCGCGTCGGGCTCTACTCTTCTGTAATCCAGAAATCTAAACCCGAAAAATCTTGTTTGACCCGGGGATCTGCCATGAAAAGGCGGGGGTATTTTCTTCTTCAGACTGACACAGACGTATATTTCAATTCAACTGATCATCCATAACAGTGTTCCAAAAATCAACCCGTACCTCCGCTGACCCTCGAATTGTCTCGTGTTTATCCGAGGACTAGAAGGAGGAAGAGAAGGCAGGGAGGCGCACGGCGCGCGCCAGCTCCCAGTGTCATCGTCGAAATATTTAGAGCTGGCCTGACTTCGTTCGATTCGGGGCTCTCCATAAAAAGGCGCGGGATATTTTTGTCTTTTTTTTTTTGCCTTGTCGCTGCAGACTGATTTTAATTCAATAGACATCCCCTCGCTGGCCTCGTACACAGACTCGTTCCTCGTGCCACTTCGCTCATCCTCAAATTTCTTCGTGTTTGTTCAAGGACCACAGCATGGAGAGAAGGCAGGGAGGCGCAGGGTGCGTGCCGGCTCCTAGCGAGCGGATTTATTGAAACCTGAGCGCCGGAGGGACCTCGTTCGACTCGGGGTCCTGCCGTAATTCTTTGAGACTTTTTTTTGGTCTTGGCTTGTCGTTGAAAAATTCAACCCCAGACTGAGATCTTCCAGGTTTAATTCCTCATCCACAAATAGTTCGTGTTTATTCCAGGCCCAGAGAAGGGTAAGAAAGGCAGGTAAGCGCATGGTGCGCGCCGGCTCCCAATGTAGGGTTCGACTGTTTGAAAGCCGGAACACCTCGTTCGACTCGGGGCCTTGCCATATTGCTTCCAAGATCTTGGAATTTCTTTTGGTTCTTGGCTTGTTCTTGAAAAATTCAACCGCAGACTAGTTCACATTCCTCAATTTCAATTCCACAGAGTCTCTGAGTTACGAAAACGAGCAGTCCAACTAATGCCAATTAGAATCCTCAATCCCTTCCTATTTATTGGAGAATGTAAAGGCAGGGAGGCGCACGGTGCGCCGCGGCGTCTCGTAATACGGCTAGTTGCGATTTAAGCGCCGGAGTGACCTCGTTCGACTCGGGTCCAGATCTTGGGATTATTTTTTTTGTCCTTGGCTTGTCGTTGCAGACTGACACATGTGGAGACACAGTATCCATGTCAACCACGCAACTCGTCCCTCGTCGTTGAGTCCTCACTTCAAACTTAATTGCCTCCTGGCTATTGAAGAATGAACAAGGATTAGAAAGCCAGGGAGGCGCACAGTGCGTGCGGGCTTCTGGTGGGCTAGGTATCGGAAAGCCTAAGCCGGAAAAGACGTGTGGGATTTTTTAAATCTTTTATCTTTGCTCACATGTTTTTTTTTTTTTTTTTCAATTCCACACAGTCGCGCGGACAGACACTCCAACAAGGTTGAAGTCCTTCTGTCTCTTGAAGAATGGACTAGGACAGAAAAGGCAGGGAGGCGCAGGCTGCGCCGGCTCGCAATGTGACACCTCTACCAAAGTTTAAGAGCCGGAAAACCTTGTTCGATTCAGGGCCCTGCCATAATGTGGAAATTTAAAAGGAACTTCTTTTTCCTTTTCATTCCACTCCGATTTAGCCGCAGACCAGTGAGTGGTCTTCAACTCAACATTCTGTCTCCGGTGAGCGGACGTTTCAACGATCCAACTCATTCCTCGTAGCTCTGCTTATCCACAAATCTCTTCGTGCGATCAGAGCAGGGAGAGAAGGCAGGGAGGCGCACGGTGCGCGCCGGCCCCCAGTGTTAGAGACTTGGAGCTAAAGAACTTACCGAGATGGAGTGGCCTCGTTTGACTCGGGGACCTACCATGAAGAACAAGGCGGGAGTTTTTCTTTTCTTTCGGGCGCTTGTGCTTGGAGTTGAAAACATCATTTGCAGAGTGGGATTTATATTTTCCATTTTTCAATTTACTTCGGGTGGAAGATCCGTATGAGCCGGCCTGACCTCGTTCGACTCGGGGCCCTGCCATAGAGGGAAAAGACTTGGTATTTTTCTTTTTCAGTCTGTGCTTCTTGGCTTGTCGTTGCAGACCGAGACTTCAGGCATGCTTCAATTAATTCCATAGACTATCCATCTCGCGATAACAGGTGTCCCAACAGCCACTCGTCTTTGTCCCTGGCTCACTGTAAAATTGCCTCGTATTTATCCAAGGATAAAGTAGGGAGAGAAAGGCAGGGAGGCGCAGGGTGCGCGCCGGCTTCTGGTCGGAAGTTCACATGAAGCCTAAGCGCCGGAGAACCTCGTTCGACTCGGGCCCTGCCATGTAACGTGATCATGCAATTTTTTTTTCTCTTGGCTTGTCGCTGCAGACTGACACAAATATATTTTAATTCAACAGACATCCCCTCGCTGGCCTCGTGCACAGACTCGTTCCTCGTACCACTTGGTTCATCCTCAAATTTCTTCGTGTTTATCCAAGGACCACAGCACGAAGAGAAGGCAGGGAGGCGCAGGGTGCGTGTCGGCTCCTAATAGTGGGTGAATTTATTGAAACCTGAGCGCCGGAGGGACCTCGTTCGACTCGGGGCCCTGCCGTAGTTCTTTGAGACTTTTTTTGGTCTTGGTTTGTCGTTGAAAAATTCAACCCCAGACTGAGATCTTCCAGGTTTAATTCCTCATCCACAATAGTTCGTGTTTATTCGAGGCCAGAGAAGGGTAAGAAAGGCAGGGAAGCGCAGGGCCGCCGGCTCCCAATGTGGTTGGACTGAATGCTTGAAAGCCGGAACACCTCGTTCGACTCGGGGCCTTGCCATATTGCTTCCAAGATCTTGGATTTTTTTTGGTTCTTGGCTTGTTCTTGAAAATTCAACCGCAGACTAGGATTCACATTCCTCAATTTCAATTCCACAGAGTTGCGAAAACGAGCACTCCAACTAATTCCAATTAGAGTCCTCAATTTCTTTCTTTTTATTGCAGAATGAACAAGGACAAGAAAGGCAGGGGATGCGCCCCCGGCGTCTCGTAGTTGCGATCGCCGGAGTGACCTTTTCAACTCGGGGCCCTGCCATAGATTTACCATCAAGGATTTCGTATTTTTCTTCTTCTTCTTGGCTTGTCGCTGCAGACCGAACTTGAAGCATGCATGCGTCGAGTCAACAGAGCATCCATCTCGCGATAACAGCGTCCAACAATCATCTCGTACCTCCTGTTTGGCTCGCCCTCAAATTCTTCCATGTTTACTATTCGGGAAGAAAGAGGGAAGGAAGCCAGGGAGGCGTATGGTGCGCGCCGGCTCCTAGTGTGGCATCATGATTGTACGATCCGGAGTGACTTCGTTCGACTGGGGCTCTGCCATGACTCGAGATCTTGCGATTATTTTTTGTTGGTGGCCTGTCGTTGTAAGATTCAGCCGCAGAGTGGGATTTCATTTCGTATTTTTGAATTCCACAGTGGCCCATTTTAACCATCAAACTTGTATCTCCTGCCTGGCTTACTGCAGAATTACCTCTTGTCTGTTGGAGGATCAGAGGAGAGAGAAGGCAGGGAGGCTCAGGGTGCACGCCGGCTTCTGGTATAAGTCTAGCTGAACCCTGAGCGCCGGGAGAACCTCGTTCGACTCCGGCCTTGCCGTGGATGGATCTTGGGCAATATCTTTTTCTTCTTGTTTTTTTGTAGCTTCAAGTTATCGTTGAAACACCATCCGACAATTTCACAGACAGGAGTTTCAACGAACCACCTCGTTCCTGGTGTTCACTCACCCTCAAATTCTTCGTGTTACTGAATAATGAACAGGGACAAGCAAGGCAGGGAAGCGCAGGGTGCGCGCCGGCTCCCAGTATTTAGCCTCAGGATTTTCCGAGCCGGCCTGACCTCGTTCGACTCGGGGCTCTGCCATATGGCTTTCGGCGATGCTTTTTTCTCTTTCTTTTTTCCATTTTTTTTGTAGCTTTTGTTTTGTTTTGTTTGGAGTTGAAAAATTCAACGCCAGCTTCCACAGATCTTTTCTGCTCGGGAGAGAAAACACCAACTAGGGCCAATTCGAGTCCTCAAATTCTTCCATGACGACTAGAGGGGGTAAGCAAGGCAGGGATGCGCACGGTGAGCGTCGGGTTCTACTGTCTGTAATTTATCAATCTAAACCCGAAAGCCGGTTATCTACAATTCTAAGCGCTGATCCTCGTTCGAGTCGGGACCCTGCCATATTTCTTCCGTTTGGTCTTTTTTTCTTCTTCCTTTACAGCTTCAGCATCTTTGGATCGCCGTTGGCAAGACCATTTGCTGACTGAGATTCGGGTTCTTCATTTTCTCGCAATCCCCTTCCCAGACACTCGACCACACATCTCGTCCTTCGTTTCGTTGAAGTCCGGTACAGGTCATCTTCAAATTCTTTGAATTCGTGTGTATTCGAGGACCAGAGCGAGGAAGGAAAACCGGGAGGCGTACGGTGCGCACCGGCTCCCAGTAGGTAGTTGGAAAATGTGGATGAGCCGGCTGACCTCGTTCGGCTCCGCCATATCTCTTTCGTTTGGAGTCTATTTTCCCTCGGACTTGAGGCATGCTTCAATTCTTCGTATATATTCAAGGAAGAAAGAGGACAAGGAAGGCTGGGAAGCGCAAGTGGGCGTCGGGTGCCAGTGAGCAACAGATATTTCATACCCCGATATTCCTCGTTCGACTCGAGGACCCGCCATGACGAACACGCTCTTCGTTTTTTTTTCTTCTTTTTTTTCTTCTTTTCTTTTCCCGTTTTCCCTCAGTGCGCAAGAATTCTCCGGCCGCGTCAGGTTTAGAACCAGATCAAGGAGAACGATGGGTTAGGGTGTCGGGCATAACCCAGCGCAAACATCGGTTGAATAAATTCTCTACCCGGTTCGCCCTTGTTTGCCGAATCGTTGGCCAGCTATCCTACCCTCGGAGGAGGAAAGAAAGGCAGGGAGGCGCAGGTGCGTGTTGGGTCCCAGTTACCATGCGTCTTGTGAAAGTATAACCCGATACACCTCGTTCGACTCGAGAACCTGCCATGCACAACCACTCCATGTTTTTTCTTTTCTTTTCTTTTCCCGTTCTCTCCCGGTGCGTAATGATTTACCAGGCGCGAGGCCTAGAACGGAATTATTGGGGAACGATATATGGTTAATATCCTGTCAACATAGTGGGCACAAATCTTCGACCCGGCACAGAAGTCGGTTGAATAAACTCTCTGCCCAAGTTCAGCCGAAAAACCAAGCCAAGTACCAAGCTATCCCACCCTCTGAGGAAACAAGAAAGGCAGGGAGGCGCAGGTGCGCATCGGGTCTCAATTACCATGTGTCTATTGCAAGCATAACCCGATACACCTCGTTCGACTCGAGGACCTGCCATGAAATGTGACGAACGACTGTTTTGTTTTGGGCGACTCCGCAATGACAATAATCCCTGGTTGAGAAGTCAAAGAGGCTAATTGGATTACACACACATGGACTGCGCGCAAGCACCCCGCACGTACCGTTTAGATCTCGCGCACCAGCCCTCTGGTCCATCCGTAACCTAATCCACACTCAACGAACGCGGTGCCAAGTTTTTCTCCGCGCGCCGTGCAACGCGGCGAGTTGGTCTGGGTCAGACTCGGAGCACTGCGCGGCTCTGACCTCCGCCAAAGCGAACCTAGACTTGGAAATGGCCAAGTGTGCAGATGGGACATCTTCCAGTCTTGGCCCAGCGTACAAACGACACGCGAAGATCAAAGACAAAGATAGTTACATTCCTCCTCGCACCTCCATATAATCCCGAGCCGCTCGTTGAGTAGCATTATTATTGAGACGTAAATTCAAAAGGGAGCCAGCGAGTCGGGCACGCGGCGACGCAGAAGAAGAGGTGAATCACTGGGCGCGGAGGCCTGAGCGTTGAGCCAAAAGCCATTGTGCAGACTATGGAATTCCGGCTCACCTCAAGTGTGTGCACGTAAAGCAGAAAGTTTGGGCTGCTTTCGTCGTTGCCAAGTCCTCTCCTCAACATTACAGCTGAGCGCGCATGGCAGTTGGGGAGAGCATGAATTTTTGATCGTGATTTCGGCACCGAACCCGATTGATCGGACTACGCGGCCGATAGACGGTCTTGCTTCTCTCAGGTTCTCATCGGCATTGCTTTGAACTCTTTTCGACTCCTCACTGCACTCACCTCCCAGCTGCAGGATCCCGCAGGACAGAGCAATCCGAGTCACCGGATTTGCCCTGCGGACCTCAGGCTGTGACAGAGTGGAACATCTTTCTATCCAGATTCCAACTTGGGTCTCCCTGGGATCCCATACATCATTGATACATGCTCTCGCTTTACTTTAAAGTCTAGTCTATATCTTGGGTCCTACGGCGTCCACTTTCGTCATTGCGACCTTTGCTCGAGTGTCCGTTCGAAGTCGTTCAAGAAGTTCTTCCTGGTTACAACACATGATACTCACGAGAGCTCCCTGTCCCTGAGTTACATCACGGGCTGTCATTGATATGCTTGCGGCCTCTCTTCGAGTACTGCGACATTACGCAGCGCCAACTAAATGTCCTCACTGTATCCCAGCATTCTAGGCAGGGCGGTGCACCGAGTTTCAATTACCCCAGAACAATCAATGAATCTCAAGTCCCTCGGATCTTGCCATTTCCCTTGCATATACTTGTTTTTTTGATGCCAGCTTGCAGTTATTAAGACTGAACCGCACCTGACGTTGTAAAAACCAACCCTCCACATCCGGGTCGGGTCCAGGCCGACATGGATCTGACATTTCTTGCAGTTCAACAAAAAGTCAAGGGGGTTGGGGCCGGTCAAGCCGGGACCTAGGGCAGGGAGGGTGGGTCGGCCGTCAGGCCAGAAAAAAAAAAATGGACCTGTCGTAAGTGGGTTGGAATAGCTCCAATAGCTTCCAGATGCCGTCAGAAGGTCTCAGAGCCTAGTTCACCCACCACAAGCCATAAATTGATGAAACCAGTGCAAACAGTACACATTTCAGGTTTAGTTGGCATTTATCAGCTGAAAAACTGGATTTCGAGCCACAAACTGCGATAGGATGATTCGAAAATTGTTAATAATTCCTGGGCAGCTTTTCGAAGGTTCAAGGTAGCTATTAGCATGGTGGGCTAGGTGGATATGCCTATTTGCCATCACTGAGGTAAAACCTGAGCTCATCGCAAGGTTTGAGTCATAACCAAGTTATTTGTAGAAGTAAAAGCCGTTTCTGGCTCAGTAGTATTAAATATGACACTTTTGGTTCAATTTTTTACTGTCTTCGGCACTCGCCGGAGCAAACCACGTGAGAAATTACCCGATTTGGACGTCACGTGGTAGGGAGGGTCATTGAGAGGGTCTTTTTGAAAAAATACGGCCTAAGTGGATTTTTTGTCGGATTCGAACCCCCTTGCTAAAAGTCTGTCATGAGTAGACCAGTGACTTGTCTGTCTATGAGGCAAGCCTGTCGATAGACAGACCAGTCGATCTGAGTTTGAATTAGCAATGCAAAATAGTTCCCATAAAAGGTTATTCCGGACCGCGTTTCCGAGTGAGTGACGTCAGAGCCAAACAACGACAAAATAGATAAATTCTCAACTGGCAGACCCAAATCTTATTGGTTTGCC